CATGCTTATTTTTATAAGCACTAAACTCACCCCATATAATGCAAAAGGCACTGGCAGCCCTGAGTAATGAATCCCTCAGAAACATAATACAGTTACTCACAGAAGCGGAAACTAAGAAACATTATAACAAGACTGAAGAAGAGTCATTATTTCCTGATCAGTGATAGCTGCACCACCAGAATTCTCCCATTCAGTCTCTCCAGGTGGTTACACACTGAGTTTCTGACCCTCTTGAACCACCTCTGCCACACAATCGTAACCTTCCAATATGGCTAGTGAGATAAACACAGTAATCAATGGCAAGAATGACTTTATAATCATCAAAATCTAGGAAAATCATACTCTCAAGACATTTCTACACAGTATATTTCATATTTCCATTAAACACGACACAAATGTGAGGGGAAGTTATGAAACTGAGTAAGAAAAAAAAATCCAGAAAATAAATGGAATTCAGCTGCGCAAGGGAGTTCCTGCCTTTTTTTCCTGTCTAAGGAAATACAAAATTACTCCTCGATATCAAGAAATTAAGAATAGCATTAGGACTTGGAAAATGCCTTTGAAACATAGAGAAGAGAAACATTACTGAAAGGCCTGTTCTGGTAAAGGCTACATCCCTCCTGCAGGTCAGTAGAGAGGGATGGACCCACGGGTCAGTAGCCCAGCACTGAAGGAGCTGCCACTTTAACATAAGTGACATTTAGGATGGAAACTACATGAGTGGAATGTCCAGAAATTAATTCATGTTTTCATTTAACACAGATCACATATTCACCTCCTAGAAACCATTAATTTTGTCCTGTTTCAGAGGAAGAAACCATTTAAAGTGAGAAAGATGTGCCATCCGCACAGAGAAAAAAAATAAATGAACCATCTTGTTCTGTGCAAGAAAAGAGCAAGATCTTTTGTGTAGGAAGTTCTACAAAACCTTGGCTGGAATTTCTTCCTAACTACATAGCACTTAGAGATGAGAAGTCAAACTGACACACATTAATATTTACAGGGCACTCTCCGAGCAGAGTGACATTAGCCAGGGTTCGCATGCTGATCTTGCAAAAATTTGAGAGAGACCACATTGGGGTTCCTCCTGCTCAGAAAAATTAGTTAATCATATTTGACATTTGCTGGAGCCACAGAATCCAGAGAAGAGAATTGTACCTGACATCTTTTAAAAAGAAGAAAAAAAATAATCAGAACATCACAAATAAATTTCAAGGCTGAATTCAAATAGAAAAACCCTGAAGTGGTACATACAGAAAATAGCACCCAAGAAAAGATAAACTAGCAATGAAACAGCAATACCAAAATAGGTAATAAACCAAAAGCACTCACTTCTGTGGGCACAATGAATTGATTGTTTTTGCAACAGCCATAGATTAAATTACATTTCATTTCCAAAGTGTTTCAATTCTTTCTTCTGTCAATGGCTATTTCAGTGCTGAATAAAAGTCATTATATTACTTTGGGGGCTGCACCTTCATCATCTCCAGCAAGTAAAAAGCAGATTTTATTCCATGAGCAACTCATATTTCTAATGACAAGCATATCACAATACTATGCTTTCTTTGTCACAAGAATGAAATGCTGATTTTCTGCCTTGAATTATGTAAGAAACTAGGCATGTAAATGCAAGAGATCATACTGGGACACAGAATAAACAACAGCAACAAAAATATAAAGAAGTCTCTTATTATCACTGGATTAATTAGCATTAATAAACTAGGGCACAAATATTTTTGACAGGACAGGAAAGCAGGTCATTAGCATTGATGAGATGATACAAATGATCTTCCTAAGACATTTAGAGCAGACCTGCTCCAAATGATACTCACGGCTTGCAATTATGCCACCAGTCAAATAGTTTACATCTAACATCCAGTGGAGAATACACAGTATTTGCATACAAGACCCAGACTCCTTTTTTGCTCAAATCTAACTCAATTTTAAGAAGAATAAATTGCTAATAACTAATCAAACACTGAAACTAAAACCTTTTACTACTATAAAGATTCAAAATTAGGCACAAAAATCCCCGGAAGTTTGCAAAGCCATTTTAAAATGGATTTTCTGTTGGAGGCACAACGTAAACAATGATTTGCATCAGTGATTATCTTAATTAAACGGCTGTTTACATAAGTAACGTTGATTTACTTTAAATGTTGTTCCGTGTCATTAGACCATCCATTTGATTGTGTGGATTTCCTTTAGCTGAAATCTTCTCCCACCTTCAGCAGGCTGGGAGCAGCACCTCTGCTGCACAAGTTATTGCCACACAAGCTTTATTCTAATTTCTTTATAGGAACATTATAGAGCACAGTTCAGCCCCTTCACCCTGTACCAGTACGTGACAGGGAATTCACTCTTCCAGTCAGATGTAGCCCAGCTTTCTGACCACATTGCCTATGACAGACTTGGATAAAACTGTGATCCTCTGAAGGACACAGGGCACCCTTGCCATGCACGATGCTTTAAATATGTTAAGGAAAAAGAAACTACATGTCCTCCCCCTCTATTTCTTTTTTTACATTAGATTTCTCACTCCAGGAGGGAAGCTCCCTCATGATGATACAGTGATCAACTGGCTAATCTGGTACTGAAGGTCTTCACTAGATGATAAATTCAAGTCAAAGGAGTTACCATTGCTGAAAAAAATGTAAGCAGGAAAAACCACAATAATAATTCTATAATTAGCAGCGACAGATGTTCAGAAGAGAAATCAAGATTACTGGCCATCACTACCTCCTGAATTCCCTCTGTAGCAATAAGAAAGTAAGCTTAGTTTGATAACATCTAACAGATTTACAGAGGAGTTTAAAATTCTGTCTTTCCAGGAAAACGGCTCAGCCACAAATGATGGTGTTGGTTCCAGCATGACATCAGCCTGCACGATTGCAATGATCTGCTTAAGCCTTAAAACCCCAGGAGACCAGCACTGCCACACAAACAAAAGCCAAGAGTTACTATCTCCTATATTATTTTATTAGATGTCTTAATTTCTTAATTATGAGTGAAACTTGAGTTGCAAATTAAGGATTCCTCAGGAAAATAGGACTAGTCGAGGAACCAAAGCTATGGCTAAAAACACTCTAAACACATACTTGGGTACTTAAATGGCCAGGACAAATTCTTAAAACTAAGAAAAGATCAGTCACACTGTGGAACAACAGCCACTAAGTAGATTTAAGTATGTTTATTTGAACGTGTATCACTGCAGATTTTCAATGACTAATTATTGGCAGTTCCAAGATAATTACTGGCGATCGGTGCACGCAAAGACTGGAATTGTGTTGGAAAAATTAAGAGATATGTATGGTATGATAAACTGATCCTACTCCACTTTTTTTTGCAATATTATGTGTCACATGAAAGGAAGGAGGAAAAAAATAATCAAAACTCCATAAAGATAAGGAAAAATTAAACTAAAAAAAACTCTGAGCTATTAATCTTTCCTGATAATGAAGTACTTCAGGATGACTTCTAAAACTCACTTTCATTTAGATGCTTCATTTATTTTAATCTGGGAGATAATTAGAGGGAAATCAAATCCATCTCCATAGCAGAGTATTTACCTGAGATGCAGCTCAGACTTCTCAGTATTTCCCCTGTGTGTTCAAACTGAGTGTTATATGTATCACTAAAACTTTATTAGATTAATGGCCATTACTTAATTAGCATCAAAACTAAAATCTACAATGTTTCCTGCTGGTTAGCTGTCAGAACTGGAATTCTTTCAGATATTTTTTTTTTCTATTAATAGGCTGAATTCTGCTTTCCCACACACCATTCCCAGGAAAGCACATAAAAAATACTTGGAAGTAGGAGTAAATCTCAGCTGAATGGGTGGGCAGTCGTCCCACGTCAATTCCCATATATCCACACAAAAAGTTCCTGGCCCTTTGCAGCAAGAAATAGGATTTATGGTGAAGACACAGATACTCATCAACAAGATGCTCCGTTAACCAGATTATCCTGAAAAAAAGCTGCATCACTGATGAATTCTTACTGTGAAGAGGCAATGGTTTATCTCATCACCCACTAATCCTGTTAGAAATTATTTCGTACTCAAAATGTATCAGAGAAGAATCCTCAGTTGAACGAGCATTCCACACACACCAGTGTTCTCCATGAATTTATTTCTAATTATCATTTGCCTCTTATCCATATCTAATATGTAGTTAATGAATGCCTGACATAACTTCAGCATATAAAAAAAGACATGACTAGTTATATAATTACAGGTTAAAAAATGATCTTTTTTCAGCTCTGTGCACCAAAGTAATCTTAAGGGTGAAGGTGAAGCACAGACAAGACAGAGTACAGGTGACTTTGCAAGACACTCTACAGTGTCCACAGCATCCTCGGTGCGTGGCACTGCCTCTGAAAGAATAGTTTGGTCTTATAATAATATATCAGCTGTGTCTTGTTCATGGGGCTGTCTACAAAAGGACAGCAAATTTGCACTTGTAATCATTACAGAACACGAATAACATATTTAAGCTTGCCACTAAGTGCCAAGAGAACAACAAAATTGCTATTCTGGTATGGAGGCAGGCCTTTAAGCAAGAATTTCTAAGGACAATAAAAAAATAAAAAATCTCCCTTTCATGTTTCCAAGGAACTGCTTAAAACAAGGTGGTTCATTAAAAAAGAAAATATTCCTCTCAGCTTGATTCCACCACAAGCATTTCCGTGCAACCTGCTTCAGGCAGTTCCTCTCATTTCTAGATCATAAATTTAACTGTGTTTACTATCACAGATCGAGGAAGCATTTTCTAAATACAACATTCATACTTATCAGCTCCAATGGGGTGAATCATTCAGAATAATTTGTGACTTTCAACCAAATTAATACACAAATTACTACTCATGACTGTTTTGAATTTAAAAAAAAAAAAAAAGATGCCTCATGTAAAGGTACAAACAAATAAATCTGAATCAGAGGTAAGATATTGCAGGGGAACTCATTATTTGCAAAAACCAAAGAAAGTCAACACACTTACTGGACATCTTTCCTCTTCTTTTTCTGAGGGTCCACCAGCCGAAGAGTGTCTCTGATAACAGCTACTTTCACTTCTTCATCAACAGGGCTTGGGACATTTTCAAACACTCCAGGAGAAAGCTTTAAATCACAAAGAGAGTACAATTAATCATTACAGAACTAAGGATTATTTATTCCACATTTACTCCAACTTCATGTATGTCATTTATGCTTTAAATACACAATGATAAATTGCAAAATACTTCGTAAAAATATACAAATACCTTAATATTTTCAGTATGATACTACAACACTTTTTGGCAAGTTTCTCTAGTAAATTGAAATATTGAAAAAAACTGTTGCCGATGTTACCATTTATATTATGCATACAAACAGGAAAAAAAAAATATTAACAATCCCCTAAACACAACTAAGTCAACTGCAGGAGATGATGAATAAATGTATTTGTGACAAAGATGATGTAGAGCTTTCACAATTCCAATAAGTCACATTTCCAGTGTATAAGATTAGCAATGATTTCCAAGCAGAAAATTACAGGGAACCTTGGAGGTTTCATATTAGCAGACAGCTTTCATCTTTCAAACAAGGAAAAAAGACCAGAAAACCAAACCTAAACAATTTCATCCCAATATCAGTATCACGTTGAGAGGTCTTACCTCTTGCTCGTGTTCTATTCTCATGCTGGGGTTTGCATTTACTTCTAGTAACATGGGCTTCAAGTTTTTCATCAGGAGAATGTCAAACCCTAAAATCTGAGCATAAAAAGCAATGCGTTACGTCAGTTCTGCTCAGTGTTCCTCTAGAGAATGCAACAGCCATCTGTATGTCAACATTCAGGAGAAAAAAATGTGAGGGACAAAAGTGAAATAACTGAGAAATCACAGAATCACAGAATGCTATGGGGTTCGAAGGGACCTCTGGAGATCATCTCCTCCAACCCCCTGCCAGAGCAGGGCCACCCAGAGCAGATCCCACAGGAACATGTCCAGGTGGGTTTTGAATGTCTCCAGAGAAGGAGACTCCACCACCTCCCTGGGCAGCCTCTGCCAGGGCTCTGCCACCCTCACAGGAAAGAAGTTCCTCCTCATGTTTAGGTGGAACTTCTTATGTTCAAGTTTGTGCCCGTTACCACTTGTTCTGTCACTGGGCACCACCGAAAAAAGATTGTCCCTGTCCTCTTAACACTCACCCTTGAAGGCGTTGATCAGATCCCCCCTCAGCCTTCTCTTCTCCAGACTAAAAAGACCCAAGTCCCTCAGCCTCTCCTTGTAAGAGAGATGCTCCAGGACCCCCATCGTCTTTGTAGCCCTCTGCTGTTCCCTCTCCAGCAGTTCTGGGGAGCCCAGAACTGGACACAGTACTCCAAATATGCCATATTGCTGAATAATTACTGAAACCATTTGTCTTTGATACTAACAGTGACTTTCACACAACCCCCACCTCCAAACACTGCATCTGTCAACACGGAATCTTAGCACCTATGGCAGAAATTCCAACGTACCTGGAAGCAAGTTGGCCCAGGCTTTCCTGCTGGTATGTCGGACTGATAGTAAACTTTCAGTTCTGGTGTCAGTGCAATGATTGTTTTAATCACCAGTGAAATGATATCTGACCACAACTTTTTGACATCAGCTCCTCTGGAAGACAATCTGCACAGAATGCTTGAAAAAGTCCTCTTGCTGCCAGTGTTCACATTGTCAGAATGGATGAAATTCCCACTATGGATATTTAGTGAATAGTTGGTCAAGTGCATAAAAACCTGGTGCAAATTTTTTAGAGTGGGTTCTTGATAGGGCTCTGTACAAAACCTAGAAAGTCCATCTTTGGCTATGTAAATCTCTAAGGGTTCTAAAGATTTCAGTAAGACATAAAGACGAATATCAAATTTCAGTTTGTCAACAAGCAGGGGTTTGCAAATGTACTCCTGGACCACAGCTGGCCGGCTCTGGATGCTTCCCGTCAGCCTGATGTCACTCGGGTCTTTAATGAGGTAGATTCCATCTCCCTGGCACCCTCCATCAGGTTTTACAATAAAAGTGGGCTTCCAGGACGGATCACTGTCTTTCATCATACGAACCTAGAAGGAAAAGAATTACACTGAAAGACACTAATTGGGGGGGAAGAAAGGCTGATACTACGAAAGCTGACAAATCGCATTCGTAAGCCAAAAATAAAGAAAAATAACATGATCACATCACTAGAGTAGGAAACACTGTGCAAAAAAGATAGAAGAAACAGTGCTGACAAGCACAAAGACAAACAAAAAAGCATGAGTAGGGACTTACTAAAGCAGATAAAAGTAAATTTCTTTAACAAGCTGTTCTATAAATGATTCCAGGAACTTCTTTTTAATGTTATGTACCAATTTACAGGATGAAACTGTATATCTCATGAGGTCCATTTTATTAGTTACTAATGCATATGAAACTGCGAAGTTAAACCTTCATGCTACATTTTGAACTACCACTGACAAAGATAATCATTAAGCTGAGGAAAGGCACCTTATTTATTGAGGTATAAATGCAGACAAACAACATTGTGAGGAGGAAAAGAAAAAGAAAAAATTTGGCACGATAACTCTTTTTTCCACCACTGAATATTTTTCACAATCAGATACCCAGTGTTAGTAAAACTAGGGAATATTGAAACATGTACAGATATTATATAAATACCAAAAATTTACTAAACATAGATAAACTAAGTTACATAAACTAAGCATAGATTTTCTGCCTCAGTTGCCACCTACCACCATTCTCTGAAATTAATTTTTTTCTAGTTTATACCAGCACTGCCCTCAGGCCTGGCATGCAGCTGCTACCTTTCTATCCACTGCAAGGTAAAGAAAATTCTATTCTGATTTCAACAGCTTTGATTTATACTGGGAAGATCTATTCACAGCACATGGCAATTCAGATGCTTTCTTGAGATGTACCTAGCGTGACGTCAGGGAAGCGAGGGAAGTTGGTGGAGAACATGATGGTGTTTTGTACCGAATCAAAACGTTTGGATGAATCTACAAAGCCCTCGATGCCTGACCTGGCCTTTCCTCAAGCTGGTGAGATATTGGGGCTGTTCAGGAGAGGGATGTGAAACACACTGCGCTCTAGTGTACGAGCTCGCAAACAGCCATCACCGACCTCTACACAGCATCATGTATTTCAATACACAAAAATACTGCAAAAAAAAAAAATCACTGCACAAGATACATTTCACTTCTTTCACAGAAAAACACTTTCACTTTGCAGATTTCTTACAAATTGTGTCAAATACTCTTTACCACTAACAAGTTAAATTCATAGAATCATTCCAGAAAACATTTTTTCCGAAGACACACATTGACAAGTGAAGTTGCTAGGTACGGGGTGATGGAGATGACCCACTGGAAAGGAAATAGTGGGTAAGAAATTTTGACACCTACTGACACTCTGTGAGCATGTGTCTAAAAAGCTCACAGTCACAGAAGTCATGGAAATAGCAAGAAAAAGGAAAAAAAAAAAAAAGTTTAGTAAACCAGTACCTTTCAGTGTCAGTTTCTTTCCATTATTTGTAGTGCTTTGCCACAAAAGATCTCTGTTTGTTAAAGTAAACTTTAATACTTCGTAAGAATGTCACTGGAGGACTGTATGACCTATTTCTGGATTGTTTACAGCAGCTTGGACCTGGATGCTTTTGTATCCAGTTCTCTCACTGCTTTGTAGATATCCACGAGTACAGTACAAGCCATTATACCCACACCTTGAGGTTTTTTCCACACTGTGCGCTAGATTTTTGGGGCCTATAAAGGAAACAGTTCACCACAGACAGAAATTATAACAGTGATGGGGAAGTACCTGTGGTTTGTCAGAACCTACAGAATCCCAGATGAGGCCTTAGTAAAACGAAGAACAAAACTGAATTATACAGAATTACAGGATTATAGAGAGGTGTCTGCATCCTCACACAGGAAGTGGGAAGAATATAGAAGAAAAAAAAAAGTTCTAAAACTCAGATCTAGCTCCAAATATCTCAAATTCAAAAGGCAATTGGATGTGAACTTCTTGCTCAATCCCACTGTCATTTCCGCTTACTGACATCAGCAGCTTGATTTCTGGGGCATGAACAGGGCTTGGCACTGTATCAGACAATAACCTTCTATACTTGGAAGCAACAATAGGTATCTTTAGAGTTTTTGGTTTTTACAAACTAACGGGAATTACATAAAGAAGTAAAAATAAAAAAATATAATAAAATAATTTTTTTAAAAGGGAAATTACCTTTTTTTTTTCCTAAAACGAATCAGTTATGTTATTTGTAAAAAAATTAATTCCACCTGGAACAGATTGTTAATAGTTGGCAGTTCAAAACATGATTATTGTAATAAGGGTGGTTTGACCTTTGAACATGTTAACTGACACATTCATTTAGCAGGGAACGTTTGGAAGCCAATGTCATTCCCAACTGGATACAGCGAGCCAGAATTAAACATGGCACCGATAACTAACCGCTGGATTCAAATCTGCACTTTTGTAAAGAGCATATATTCACTCAAAACTCTCTCAAAAAGAAAAATGTTCAATATAATTAGGGGATCTTTTTACATCAGAGAGAAGAGCTATTACCCCATCTATATTGCCTACGAAGCCCACATTCACAAGAAGCAAACCTAAATTTTGCAAGCTTCAGTGCATTTAAGGACGAAAAAAATGATGAAGACAGTAACTAGGTCACTGTACGGGCCTGACACATCTGCTGAATATCAGACCTTTCGTGTCACATGCATACCTCCCACTGCCTAAATAAATTATTGTTTATTTGTACTTAGCAAAAGTAAAAACTGCAGAGATGTGGACACCTCAATTAGAAGAAGTGAAATTGGGAATGAAAGAAAGGAAATCAGGAAGAATTTAGTGTTATTTTGGATGAATTTTGAAAATTATTCATAAAATACGGCATGTTTTACAGCATGTGGCAAGGAAAGAGTATGAGTGTATTTAAGCCAGTGAGTTAACATGTCTCAGCCTTCAGAAGCAACTGGTTTGGAGGTCAAGGACTGAGCAACCAGTGGGAAATGAACTGCTGCATTACCCTCTGGGGCAGCCCTGAGTCCATGGCAAAGCAACGTGACCCTGGTGAGAAGCCTCTGGAGCGGCCCCAGCTCTATTGCTGTTCTCTGCGGGCACACCAAGTCCCTGAGGGTGTAAATATAGTAGCACTGCATTCAGGAATATTTCGGAGGAAAGAAATTATTAGAACACAATTTGTAATTTATCAAAATGCAACTATACAATCCAGGTTTCAATGAATAGATGCTGAAGGACTGTAGCTCATGAAAACTCCTAACAGCACTGGCACAGGGAGCCCTAACAAAGAATGCAGCTGTAGAAAACACAGGGCACAGGATAACACCTTTATCAGATACTCACGGGATTTGGAAAAATAAAGCAATTAAAATTTCCTTTCTTTCAAAACGGAGGGATGTCTCAGTACAGACCATTCTTTTCTTGCATTCACACCTTTTACAGCACCAGACCTGCCGCTGCTCCTCTCTCCATTCAGGCAGCGATGTGCTGAACGAAGCCTGTGCTCTGGTTTTACAGGGGCTCCCCAGCAACAACTGGAGATTGACTTTAAGAGGCCTGAGGATACGAGCTAACAATGAAAAAGAAAAAAATCAATTTCCACCATCGGCTCTGGCACTGCCAGAATGAAAGAGGAAAAATATCAGCACACAGGAAAAGGCTGAGCACTGGTCAGATCATTGTGATTTTCAGACAACACCCTCTGCCATGACTACATTAGGATGTTCCCAGGGCCTGAAGAACTTCTGGCTCCATCCTACCCAATCATTTATTTCAGTCAGAATCACACTGCTAAAAGCCTTCCTACCAACTACAGCAGAAATTCACGATTAATTATTTAGACAAGGATTTTTCTCATGGCCAAGTCTCGCACTAGCTCCATGAAAGATCCTTCTTCAAAATAGGTCACTTTGAGGGATTAAAATGCCACAATGGAGCTCAGGCTTACATAAATGGTGTGTGGATAAACAGGTCCAAGCAGATCAGCAGGCCTAGATGTGCAAAGAAGGAAAGCAGGATTTATGCCCTAGTCTTTTTAACACTAAAGAATAATCTTCCCCTGACATGACATTACTCTGCTTCTCTGGTTCACCGTTGTTAAAGTCAGCATCCCAGGAAGACATGTGGTTAATCTTAAACTTCCACAACTAAACATATCCTACTATGACTCCAGTTGTATGTACCAAGTGCCAATTGTGCTCTACTAAGGCAGAATGAAATAAAGAACCTCTACAAAACCAGCCAGGGCAATCTGCCTCCAGTCCCCACGTCTCTTGTTCACGCCTCAGGCTACTTCTGCTCTGCTACAGCAGCACCTTTTCAAAAAAGACAGTAATTCCTGGGGACTATTATTCGATGTAACAGCAACCTACTCTCAAAGTCCTGCATTTCAACAAACATCACTCTCATACTTAACTCTTTCCATTTAGCTAGAAAGGAAATAATTTTCTCCATCATCTTCTAGTCCATCAAAACTTACACACGGCAGATGAAGACTGAATGGTGGGGAAAGGGGGAACAATAATCCAGAGTCAGTCTGGTTTTCAGCAGCCTGGCCATCTTGAAGAAAGCCAATGGTTTCTTCATCTTCAAGGAAATTCCTGACAGTCATCTGCAAATTCTCCACAACCCCCTCAACTATATTCTTTCAAATTCTCATTATGAGGAAGCATGTTCAGACTCAGAAAAGTCAGTCATGTAGGAAAATCAGCTCATTTGAAATGAGATATTTCTCTGTACTTAGCTTGACAGAAGGAAATTATCTTTAAAAACATGTTAACCATTTACAGCCAACAGCACGAGGAGAGCACAACGTCTAATGGCATGAAAATCTGATCCAGTTGCAGGTTTGCCTTTCAAGAGGAAACTCAGGCTGAATTAATACAGTGTTCTGAAAAAAATGCATATAACGGGCTATAAGATTTGACAGCACAAAGACTAGAATATTCATGTCCATGCTTAAGAGGTATCCAAAAGCTGAAAACCTGATTAAACCACCAAAAATATGCTGTGCTGGAAATTAGACTGTCGAAATTAGATTCTTATTAAAAATTAATCATACTAGGCCTATTCATCATCCTCATAGACAACACAAAGAAGGCGGTATGAGAGCAATCAAGGCCCTGGTTAGAATCTCAAGCTAGTTACTTTTTGGAAATTGGAATTTCCTATTAGAAATAAGTTCTTATCACACAGATTCCAACAGATTCTTCTCTGTTAGTGAAGGGGTGATTACTGTAGCACCTGAGAGATTTGCTGATGTGCAACTCATCTTCTGTTATAGTTACATTTTAGTACAGAACGTTTTAAAAGCTAAAAAATAAGTGAATATTGAAAACAGATAAAATTCTATTTACTTAGTAAAATTAAGTTTTAAGCCCTTGTTAAAAATACTTATAACCATTTTAGCTTAATGTAAATGACACTAAGGGAACTACCATTTTTTTGGTATTTCCCAATATGAAGCTCACCTTCAACAAACTTAGAGTGCAGGTCTCCCATCGATTACTGGCTAATGAGTATTAGATTAGCTGCAGTGCTTTCTACCTGGATTAAGGGTTTGGGGAAAGAGGGAAAGGCTGACAGCATTTGATTTAGTTATTGTGAACATTTGTGTCAACCACATCTCCAGAACTGAGGCACAGAAAGAATATTTGAGAGAAACTGTTCTGAAATGCTGCAGCGCTTCGGGAGGAGGCAGTGAGACTGAAATGCTCAAGGAGTTTATTCTTTCAGCAGTAATTTCTGTTACAGGCAAAATCTCAGAGGTGTTAACTCCCCAGTCCAGCCCTTTGCAACAAAATCTCATACCACAAATGGCACCAAACCATCTTTCACGTCTAACCTAGACCTCCACTGACACAGAATTTGTGACCTTTGCTAATTAACTATGCCCTAATGGACTTGAATACCAATAATAGCAAAGGTGCAGCAAGACAAGTTTCAGCACGATTCATGCAGAGCTACATACTCAGCAGCTGCAGCCCACAACAACAGCTTTGCTTCCAGAAGCACCGGAGATGGCTAAATCCTCTTTTACTCAGATAAATGCACACGTGGATTCACATGATTCAAGTGTGTGTCAGTTCCTACAGGGGTATGTCGAACGTGCAGGCACCACACGTACCTGTATGTTTGTGAATAAGCTGAAAATTTAGTGTCAGACCTGACATTTTCAGCCCCACAGGGTCCCTTGGTTGTAGAGCAAATAAAACCAACAGAAAAGACTGTAGAGTTCCTACTGAGAACTCACGAAACTGCAAGTGAAAAGTGTTCTCAACCATTTATGGTTCACAGTGGATTTAGAATTTTTTTGGTTTGTGTTTTTTCTTGTTCTGGAGGGGTTACATTACAAACTTGCATTAAATAGAACATAAACTCTTACAACATAAAATATAATGTTTGATAACACGAACTATGCTTTTTTCAAACACAGATGGAAGAACATATGCAAAGGAAACTCCTAGGAGTGTGTTACTGGACATCTGTTACTCTTGGAACAAAAAAACCAAATCGTTTTCACTCCAGTAACCGTTCAACCAGAGAAAAGTATTTCTTTGCAGTGCCACCTGCCGACAGCGTGCGGGTCCATGGGTTGAACGTGATGCACAGACCCCCATCGTTATGCGCCGCGCCGTTAATCAGAGCCTCGTAACGAGACAGGCACGCTCCCCAAAGAGCCATCGCTAGAACCCCAGTGCCCCATTTTGGAACTTTACTTCCAAGTTATTTGCACTTATCTACCTGTCATAGCTAAATTGATTGGATAATTTACGCTCCTCTTACAAATTGGTCCTACATCTAAAGCAATAAGGCTGAAGTACTGTTGGGATTTTATTCGTTTTTACTCTTACCAGCGGTGCCACAGCAGTGACACAGCACATTTGAAGAGTATATATTAAAAGATGTTCACGGATTTAATTGGATTGTGGATACGGTAATTATCTGAAAAGTAACACACAGCATAGGAGTCTATTAAAGTCCATACCTTTTTCTCTCACTTTTCCAAGCAGAGGATACTGTAGAATATAAGAATGCACTGGGCGAGTCAGACAGAGTTAAAACAAACACATACAATATGTTTTAAAACATTTCTAACAACAGAACCAAACACCAACACACAGCATCACTTTTTTTCAAAAGAAAAAAAAAAAGCTGAAAAAGAATGGCATTTTATTACATTCTGAATATTTAAACAAAGCAACAGTCTGACAAGAGATTCAAACAGACAATTGTTGAGGGAGATGGGAGTATTTTTAACAATGCACAGTACAAAATGCTGTGGTGAAGGATTTGGATAGCACAGGCAGGATGGACTAAGAAAACTTCAGTGACAATGAATCTGGCGAAGTACTGCACCCCACACACCACTGTACTGGAACTTCCTCAGCCCTTTAAACTCAGCAGAATATGCAGGGAAAGCGCTAATGGTTCTACCACATTTAATATTCAGACATCACTTCTGGCATTGCAGAGAAGCATAATTGTTTTTAAATTTATTCTAGTACACAACAAACAAGAACAGTTCACCCAGACTAAGTCTGATCTCAGACAAATTGAAAAAGATGTCATCCACAGCACCCAAATGTGATTTTAAATAATCTGTCAGGTATGAAAAACTAAAGAATGACATGGCAATGACATCCAACAAGTTTACTTTTATTCTCAGAATAGTATATCTACCTCATCCACGAAGAGGGGAAATTCTTCTGGCAGAATCCAGGATCGAGGGTAGAAGTTATACTCAAGAGGAAATAGATCCTGCATTGTTCGCACTGCCCGACTCAGTGTAATTTTACGGACCATCTCCGTCATGCCTGGGAAGACAACAGACAGCGTGTAAAAGCAAGGAAGAATCCACACTGAAGTCTCATCCTAAAAGTAAATTGTTGTCTCATTATTCACCCTATTGGCAGCCACTCTAGTCATTCCTTTCAAGAAAGCTGAAAATATTTTAAAATTTAAAACATGACAAAACATTTGTAGCACTCTCCTGCCATAGTTCATATTGTATGTAATATGTAATGTCTGTAATACAATATACTGTATTGTATTAAAAAAAAGAATCAGTTATCCAAAACACAGCTCAGAATAACAGAGGGAAAGTTTTAGTCCAATAGCAACTACTGGCTTTGCCATAATCCAGAATTATGGCCCTAGCCTGCTATCATTCCAGGAAGAGGTACAAATACAATCAACCACTTTGTGTTTACTTTGCATCCATTTAAGTCACTATGTCAGAAGGACCAGGTTATTTTGTGAGCAGCCAAGGTTAGCTGCTTTCCCACAGCTTTGAATGTCATGCTTAGATCATGCTGTGTCCAGACCCACGTGAGCTCTGGTGGAAGCTTTTCCCAAGGTCGGGGCATTAAGGGTTGCTCTTGTGATGTTTATATGCTTTCAGATATTACAGCTTATAAGGTTTGTGCTGCAGCTTTTTTCTCCATGAGAACATCATCTGTGGGCTTCTTTCCTCCATGGTCAACACATTTCCACAAAACCTACAGGAACTCAGTAGTTTGTGACTGCAAACCTCTGTCAAGCGTGGCTGATTCTGGCCAGGAGGTTCCAAAGGTACAAGGAGGACAGAAAGTAACAAGGAACACATACACATTTGCTGAAGTCTTATTTCCATCAGGAACATGACTAGAAAGCTATTTTTATGGAAAATTTTCTAAGTCTTTCTGAGGGCCAACCCTTTCAGATTCTTTGAATCTCTCACAAGTAACTAAGAGAGGGATCAAGACCTCTTCAAGAGAGAAAGAATTTAGTAAAATCCAACATCAAGGTAGCGCGAGGTTCCTGGAAATCAGGTCTAGTTCTGGAGGACTCCATGGTTTTGATTTCTGTGCTTGTCACTTGCTTACCACGGACGAGCCAGAAGGCAGAGAGGGCAACACACATCTAACACAGATTTAAACTACCAGAAAACTACACCATCCGATACTTGAATGTGAACTTCCCACAGATAGGAGAAAATCAGGGTAAATAAAGCATAAAGTTCGATATCTGAGGGTTCTTATTCTCCCAGCATACTAATAGCAGCAATAAATCTGAACTAAAGGGCTTAAGATAAATCAATACCTAAGCCCTTAGCTCTTATTTAGAGAGATCTCAACAGGGATTAAATGAGAAAAAAGGGAGCTTAAAAAAGCAGAAGAGTCATCATAAGACGAGGGCTGACATGGACTCTTCAATATTAAAAAATCCATTTGAGGAACTCTGCTTCGAGCTTCTCCCTGAGATAGGCCAGAGGACGAAAAAAACCTGATTCTTTCCACTTTGAATCAAAACCAAATCCAAAGATACAGCACTGTTAGATGCCAGATAACGGGCAATAACTGCATACTTCACTTAAATTATAGCCTAAAACTCCTTAATTATCCTAAATTAATACATATGAATTATTCTTTTCATCAAAAACACTTTCTCTCCAAAACAAATTTCAGTTCAGAACTGTTAGACACCCATTCTGATATAGTCACCCACCGAAATGAGTAACACACTAAAACTACTATCAGCTGATTAGGCAGATAGTTCACATTATAAAACAGTAAAACACGGAAACAGTTGAAATAATCATGCTTTTAAAGCATTTGTTTAAAGGAGGAACAGAAGTAAGGTACCTGGAAACTTGTTGACTTGACCTGAGAATATATCATTGTCGTGGAACGACACCCCGTGCCAATAGATATCGCACGGCAAGCGCCTGCCAAAAGGAAACTGGAAAAGAGACAGGAGACAAGTTTTGAAGCAATCTGGCAATACTGATTCCTTCCTTACTGCTCTCAACGCTTACATTAAACATAAACGATTCACCAACAGTCTTCTGACTGTCAAAAGAAAACATGCCCTGTATTTTGGTTGCAAGACTAGGAATATTTTGATCAGTTCAAGGCTCTAAAGTTCAAGATGTTAACAAACCAGGAAAGGTTGACGGAAACAAAAACCAAATGACTGAGAGGCATGATCTGTACTGAGAAACTCCGAGCTTGTTATCCACCACAATTAAGGCATAACTCATTTGTAATTTAAAATACTATTACAGGGAATAAATTTTCATTAAGAAGCACTTAATTCTGGCACATGAAGGCACAGCAATAGCAAGTGCTACAGCTGGGAAGTAAACAAACCCTGACAATGTTTGGGGTTATTTGGGTTTTTTACTCCCCAGTTTAAGAGGCAGTAAGCAACCATCAAAGGAAAAAAGCACAAGGGGTCATGGAGGAATTGCCATTACTGGCAGTTACTAAATCAACTGCTATTCTTAAAAATATCACCATTTAATGCCGCGAGTCCCATGCCCTGTATCTGTGCCCCCCTGCAGCTTGGTGACCCACATCCCACCACCCTGCCATGTGGCACCTCTCTGCACCCCCAGTCCAGCACAAGCAGGAGACATCTCTGCTCCCGAGGACTTTATTTCAGGGAATACATGTCGTTAGTAATATTGTTGGAAATTAGTAGCAAGTTGTAACTGCAAAGTACTTTCTGAGCCAAGCTGATTTACTGGTGTCCAAGCTACAATAAATTGAAAATGGATTTCAAAGCAAGATATTTAAGTGACACTAAGTATATTATTCATTTATCTATATTCAGTTATATGTATTAATTTATACAGTATTCATTCCTTTCTGGTACTAATAGCCTGTATTTAAAAGAAAAGCTTACAATTTAATTAATTGTTTATTGAGCATATATATTTCAACTATTAAGGACTAAAGCAGTTATTTCAATACTATTAAGTATTCCAACAATTTAAGAACTTCTTTCCCATTCACATAAGACTTCACCATAAATTGGAAGACTGTACAGTTTTCTATTACCAAAAAGATCAACCTTTTTTAAACACTCTGAAGAGGTCTGGAACAGCGCTGCCAATTACCGATAGCAACAGTTTCTAATAGTAGCAAAGTGGTTTTAAAAAAAAAAACCACCAGCAATACAAACAAAAGCCCCATGAATTAGCAGTATCCACAATCCAAAGTAAAAAAAAACAAACAACCTGTTAAAACCCAAATATTTGCAATCCATGTTATCATAATACATAGTTCTGTGTAAAAAAGGAACTCTGTTTTCCTCACCTGTTCTCTTAAACACAGTCCCTTTTATCAATCCAAAACTTTCTATCTGCAACTCCATGTAGATGCCGTTAATTAAATACCACATGGAACATGTTCACAGGAATCTCTTCTATTATTAGGTTACATCTTTCTCAAATAAATATGCTATATTTCTGCCCACAGCATTTTTAGGAACGTTCACACTTGTATGAAATATCTACCGCCCTCATCACCCAACGACTTCAGTAAGAAGAAAGAACCAGACTATTTTGCAGAAACTATTTGTTCTTTACTCCAAATGTAATTTTTCTTGCTTTAAAACATTTCTGTAAGCAATATTTGCCAATATGACAGAAAAAGAATCTCATAAAGCTTTTGAGCGAATTATTTTATTTGCTACTTTAATTAAAATTTCAGTTGCCTCAGTCAATAGCCTTGAAAAATTAATTTAAAATGCAAATTGAGGAATGCATCCTTTCTCTGTTTCCTTACTCATAGGGATGAGTTACCCAATTTAACAGAGCCAGTGGATTCTTCACTTATTTCATTATTATTCAGCCTGCAAAATCTGTTTTTGTACAAGTGAAAATTAATTCTGTTAGGCTCTGAAAGACAATCAGTGGCCTTAACCTCTTTCCACAGGTATATCCAGAATACAGATGCAGTATTAGGTCTCGGAGCACCCTTCCCACTAAAACCTGAACAATTTATTTATTTATTTATTAAATGAAATTGAAATGAAAGGAATGAAATTTGCATTTATATAACACCTTTCATCTACAGAGGATATCAAAGCACTTTCCAAACACCGCACAGAAATCATTTCACCACAGATGAGGAGGGAGCACCTCTGGACTGGAAAATGGAAGCGCCGCAGCCCCACATCAGTGACTCGGGCAGCACGGCAGCTTCCCTGCTCCTGACACACCAGGATTATTTGGAATTATCCAACAACGGGATCACACTCACCTCCTGAATGAGCTGGGAAGGATTCTTTATCCTCCACACTCTACTTTTACAGAGAAAAGTGTTTGGGAAGGAATGAACAAGTTTGATTATTTGGCTCCCTCTGGCAGCTCCAGGCAGATATCAATTAATCTTATTCTGGTAAAAGAGGCCTTTCCACCACCTCCCCAGCTCCTGCTGCAGGGCACGAGCTAAAAAGAAAGGTGGATGCTTGAAGCAGTCCTCTATTCTCATAACAAAGATCTGCACTAATTGAGCCGAGGTGGTCACAGCCCGAAGAATTCTTGGAAGAATTTATTTAAAATCTTTTTTTATTCAGAGTTTGGAGTATTTGTCAGAAAAAAAAAAAAAGAAAAAAAAGAAAAACAACAACAAAAAAAAACAAAGCCACAAAGAGAATAGAATTGTTTCCACAATTTTGACACTACTAATAATCAATCACAGTCAAATTGGTCTGACAGGTCATTTCTACCTTTTGGTTGGAAGCCAATAATTTAATTTGTCTCACGGGTCACATCAGTCTGTTCCATCGTGTTTAATGACAAGTTAAATGACTCTTGTCTCCTAGTCAGCTTTTCCTAGCAGAAAATTTCAAACTCTTTCTACGCCTCCATGCAGCTACTGAACAGCGAGACAAATGAAACGCTTAATGCTGGGATATTTGATGCCCGAGACATCTGCTTCTTCCATTTTCCTGGTAATTGAAAGCTAGCTGAAGAAATAATTTATTAAGTGATGAATAAACTCGGGATGCAAGCTCAATTTGTGCCCATTATTTCATTTGGCATATCATGTTCATTTAAAGAATCTGACACACTAAATCAGATAGTCCAATCTAGTGATGGGAGTAATTGCTCCACTGGCATGCACATTAAAATTCTGCAATGCTTTTTAAAAGGTCCACCCCTGTGCGTTACCCCGGGCAGGGCTATCATGGTCCATAATTTAATTTACTGAAAATTCCCACAGCTGAAAAAAAAAAGCGCAGTTTTTTCTATCTTTACTTCCAATAACAGTCAAATTGGTCTCTCTTGAACTCTTACACCTCTTCCTCATATGTCGGTGCCATAGAATAAACTGCTCACCAATATTGGCCATGCTTAGAGTATTATTATTATTATATAGTGACATTTACCATATGTTAATTTACTAAAATGAACTACTACCACGTGGACAACTCTGTAATCACACAGCATGCATTGTGTCTTTTATTTCTACAAATTATCAGGGAGCATATTGCAATAATAAATTATTACTGAAACAAAGCTCTTGCAGCAGGTGAGGGTAACTGCAGTAAGGAGAGCTCAGAACGTGTAACTTCAAACAGAAAACAACCCAAAACAAAAGCCTATATGACACTGCAATAATGCTATCCATTAGACAGAAAAAGTTATGGATAAAAAGGAGCCCACTTTAAAAAGCCTGTTATAACGACTCCTGCCCAAGAAAATATTCAAGCCAACACATTCAGCAGCAAACATAGAAAAGAAACAAAAGCAAAGCAGCAATGGGAAAAAATGTAAAAGAAGTGGTGAGGGAGAAGGATCCAATGTACTCAAAGCCCATGACACAATCACCTTGAAAAGCGTTATACAAGGGACAACAATAGAATACCAGCCCCTAAAACATTTTAGATACATTTATTTCATTATTACTCCTAAGATTCTTTTTGTTCTTTATTTTTATGGATCCTGCAAGAAACATCTGTGTTCCCTCTGCTGGTCCTGCTGTAGCAGTGAAACTATTTCCACAGCTCTGTGCCCATCAATGATAGTTGTTTGAGCAAATACTTTCATGCTATTTTTCTAAACATTTGAAAGGAAGGGCTTTCAAAATTATAGGAAACCTGAATGAAAGAGTTTTTCCTTGTAGTCCTCTTCTTAATGTTTTTTATTTCTTCAAATCTAGACCAGATCCTGCCTACTGCTTCCCTGTGTCTGCTGAAGTCTGCTAGCCTGAAGTCAACTGTTTGTCCTAGAAGACTTTCACCATCTTATTTTCTGCAACGTAAACAGTACTATTCAAGAGTCATAGCTCATACTGTTCCCTTTTCATCACTCTTTTCACCTTTGGCGGAGGATGAAGGAAAGAAATAAAGAAAGGGGAAAAAAAAAGAGAGAGAAATCTGACTTGTCATATATACATTGATAAGAAAAAAATACTTTCTTAACAGAAGATAATGTTACATTCATACATATTAACCTCTTTATTATGATAAGCTGAAAACTTTACAGAAACCCATTACAGTGACTTGCTTACACGGAATGAATTACTAACCACCTAGATGGTATGATCCAATGGCAGAAAATTCCCTATTTGGTCTCTTCTTTATTAAGAGTACAAAGTGGCCAGAAGGGGAAGCAGCAGACTAAATGAAAAATATTGACTGAACTAAGGGATGGAGGAGAAAGGATATTGAGGGAGACAGTAAACAAAGAAAGATGAAGTAAAGCCAAAAGCGATTGCTGTTGTGGGATGCAGAGCAGGAAGGAGAACACTGATAATGCAGTGCAGATATTCGAAAGAGCAACAAGAGCACATGAAACAAGTCAATTTGTAGGAGAGAATACCACACGCAGAGAATCCAGGGGATAAGATATGCAAAAGAGTAAAAGCTCAGGAAACAGAAAAGACAAAATTAACCAGTAAGTACGGCTCATTACCAACAAAATCTGTGAGGCTAACTTATATCAGTAATTCAGAAACACTTGCTGGAATGGCACTGGGCACTCTGAACATAAAACTAGCCATAAGAACAACGAAATTAAGTGTGAAGTCCCCCTTGCTCTGTATGTCACCCAGTAAAACAGGGAGCAAGGCTGCTGAGAGACGCTCCACAGGTGCCCCAAGGAGTAAGAAATGTAACCATAACAGGATTTAATTTCACGCCTCTAGTGTTTCGTTACTATTTTGCTGTAAGAGCAGGAGTCAAGAACTGGAGCGTTTGTGCAATGAGATTTTGAACTTCTCCCACTGGATTTAAATAACAAAAATCTTGACATAAATTTTTATGAAGACAGAAAATGAGAAAGCCCTACTCTTCCCGGCAAGAAGCATATATGTCTTCATGGTATTAGGTATTTAGGGCATTATGAATAAATATGGGTTATATTTAGTGCCACTCAATCCTCCAGAAAATAAATTTCTAACGTTTAACTCCGAGGTCATGAATAACACAGAATATATTGTCTACCCCAAGTCCATAAAAAAAGTTGTTAAAAAAGCACCAGGTGCACAGAAACTTTTAAAATTAAATTTAAAAATTAAATTAAAAAATTAATATCTTCTGAGCCTGCATCCCAAAGGCAGCTCTGTAGTGGAGCAGCTGCCGTAACTCATGCTGCTGCACACAAAGGAACAGTTCATCCACAGTGTTATCCTTCCACTTCATGTCCCCTCCAACTTCCCTCTTCCAAAGGGATCACAAGTACCCTTTTTCTTACAGAAGTTCCTCGAAAAGCTCCTAGAAGCCTTCTCAATTTCTATAAAGCCACTTGTAAAGTTATTATGGAAAGAAAATCTTTACAATTTAGCATTTATAGTAAGATATACATTAGAAATCTCTTCCGGATTTAAATAAGGAGTTCCAAAGCATCAGTTTTGTGCCAGCTCCCATAATGTCCTATCTCCAGTTCAACACAGACAGTCTGAACTCACACAGCATGGAAGAAAACATACGATTCAGGCTGCAGGAGTGAAAAAAATAAAGCCATAGCTTCTCTACATGCAATAATTGAGAAGGCTAAAGCCTGTTATGTCTGCTTTATTAGGTGGTTTCAGATTATTTCATTCATACACAACGCTCTTTGACATGCCTTCAAGATCATCCCTGATGCTGAGGCTGTGCCGGGGGCTCAGGAGCTGATCTCCAGGCCGTGCCTCTGGGCCACTGTCACGGGCCAAACACTCCTACACAGGGGTAGGTTTCTTTCTTGCCCTTTCCAGAGTTTAAGCTTTGGAGCGTAATATCCGATTACCCCTATTTTGGCTTGCATAATTGGCGATGGCAGTCTTGATCGTGAATCAGATCAGCCTCCAGCCTTGACATCTAACTAGAAATAACCCCGGGGTCGAGATGTCACCAGCTGGGATGAGGCCCCGGCTACAGGCACCTGCTTTGGCGCTGGCTCAGGGAGGAAAGGAGGAGGAGGAGGAGGAGGAGGAGGGGGATGGAGAAAGGGAAGAGCTTTACCAGAGGCAGACCCCAAGGCAACGGAGGGAGCTTTCCCCCGGGCCGCCGGCAGAGCAGCGGGGGGAGCGGAGGGAAGGGTCGGAGCTGGGCCCAGCGCCGGGCCGGGGCCCTGCCGGAGCCGGGGAGATGCGGGGAAGGGGAAGGCAAAGCCCGGGGAGCCTCCTGAGGGTCGGGCGGGCGCTCACCTCCCTCCAGCGCAGCTGCCTCAGGCTGATCTTCAGCGCCTCCAGCGAGGTCTTGGCCTTGGAGCTGTCCACCGTGACGCGGGGCCGCCGGGCGGCGCGGCCCCCCTCCTCCCCTCCGCGCCGGCCCGGGGCCCGTCGCCCCCTTCC